TGTCGCCCTCTGGGGATATCCCTGTCTCTCCATGGGCTGGATTGTGCCAGTGATTTCTGGCCTTCAGTAGGGCTGGACCAGATCCTCAGGATCTCAGAACAGCCCTGAGGGAGCGCAGCAGCTGCTATAGCCATGGGAGGGATGCGGTTGCTTCTCTGGCCAGTGCAGGCTGTGGGGCCATGGCCCTGCCTCCTCCCTTCCCAGACATCAGAGAAAGAAGGACCAAGGTGGATGTTCTGGGCAAAATCTTCTCTCTGACAACTTGGAGAAAGTTCCTCTCTAAATGGCAAGTGCTGAAGTTTGGATCTGCAATGAAATTTGCCCCACTGGACACTCAGGGCCCAGGGAAATATCCCCCGACCCTCTCCACGTCCCTGACCTGCCTTTTCCCTCTTTCTGTCTGTTCATGGCAGGAGAAGACAGACGCCCAGAGGCAGAAGATTGTGTCTGAATTTGAGCGGCTGCGCCAGTTCCTGGAGGAACAAGAGCGACTCCTGCTGGCCCGGCTGGCAGAGCTAGAGAAGGGGATGACAAAGATGCGGGATGAAAATGTCACCAAACTCTGCGAGGAGATTTCCCGTCTCAGCGAGCTGATCCGTGAGATGGAGGGGAAGTGCCGGCAGCCAGCAAGTGAATTCCTGCAGGTGAGATCTTGGCTCCTGGCATAGAATTTGGGAAAATAACATAGAAGTGAGACTTGTGAGGTGGGAGGTCCAGGATTCAAACCTCCCCCTGTAACTCACTGTACATATTGTTTAAATGGAAATCTTCTTTATCACTTCCCTTTGGTCTTCATTTTATTCTGAATTTTATGACTAATAGTTTGTCAGGGGACCAAGATCAGGGAAAAGGCGCTGCTTAGTCGATAGAGATTTTATTTATTCATGCACATGTATCTAGAAATGTTTATGGCCCACATCGCTGCAGAGTCTAAGCACCACTTGGAAGGCTGGGAAATATTACGTGAATCACACTATTGCACCCATTATAAAACTGGGGAACTGAGGCACAGCCAGATGATGTAACTTGCCCAAGTCACTAAGGGTGTCTAGGGCAGTTCAAGGAACAGAGCCCAGATCTCCTGCGTCTAAATTCAGTGCTTTAACCACAAGGCTGCTGGCTGGAACAGGAGCCCGGGCTCTGTCTTTGCAATGCAGCGGTGCTAACCGTGACACCGTCGACACACCTCCCCGGGAACGTGGCGTGTGCCCCCTCCACCCGTGGGACATAGAAACAGGTGCAATGATTATGCATTCTTCATTCTCACTGTTATCACTGTGAGACTGAGCTTCCTTTCTTCTCTCTAGGATGTCAGAAGCACCCTGAGCAGGTACGTGGCATCTTCTCAGTCCCCTCTCACACTTCACTGTGCTTGGGCCCTTGTCCAATCCTCATCTCCTTCACAGACAACAGCAAAGCATGCAGGGCAGGTATTCAGGCTTGGGCTGAAACTTGGGCTTGATGCTCTTTAATTATTAACCTGAATATAGGAATATGCTATAAAAACTCCATGGCCCACCTGTGCCACAACAACTGGCACTGTCTACACCAGGGGTTAGGTCAGGGGTATGGATTTTTCACACCCCTGAGTGATGGAGTTATACCCATATAAGTTTGTAGTGTAGTCCTGGAATTAATCCAAAGAGTGACAGAGCTGTAGTGATCTGTCAACTCAGAGTGTCTGTCAGGGTGGACCCAAAGTGTGTTTCAGGATTCTGGCCCTGTCAGATATCAAACAGCAAAGAGATGGAAAATTTTCCTGTGACTTTGCTTTATTTCCATCATTCAGCTTCCAAGCCCACAGGACTGAGCTTTCTTGCAGATAGCATTTCCAAGGTGCAATAGGGCCGTTAACCAATCCTTTGTATTGTGATGTTTCTTGATGGCCCATCTGATTTTTTTTTGATAGTCCTTCTGGGTGGGCTGGGAGGACGATTCCCATGCCTGGGTTCCCAAATTCACAGCAAACCTTCTCAAAGTTATAGAGCAAAACCTACATATTTTTATAGCATGGAATATCGACATTACAAGTGAGACTAATGCATGCAGCAATTTACAAGCATTTCACAGAATCTAAATACTAAATACATTCTTATAAGACTAATAGCTATTCTGAGCAAAACTAACACACAAGTGAACTGGTCTGGTCTCAAGCTATGAATTTGCCAGTTCTTTGCTAATCCCTGCAGCCTGGGCAACAGCTGGCATCTGGCCTGCCAGCATCACAGGGGTCACTCTAAGAGAGCCTTGCTCTGCCATTGGTTGGGCTGGACCTGTTCTGAGGCTGGGTTACACAGAGAAATGTGCTCAACTTAACAGCTTTCACAGCCC